CCATCCATCCATCCACCCACCCATCCATTCATCCATCCATCTATTCATCTGTCCATCTGTTTGTCCTTCCATCCACCCATCCATCATCCATGCACCCACCCATCTGTCCACCTGTCCATCCATCCACCCATCCACCCATCCATTCCCACACGCAATTCTCGGATTTGTACTGAACACTCAGCAACACCACGGGATTTCTGCTCTCTCTCTTTCTCTCCCCTCCCTCTCTCAGCCTCCTCCATGTCTCTCTCTCTCTGAACACCATGAGCTGGCTGATTTCTGTCTCTAGGGCTGAGACGGGAGTGGTGGCCCGCCTGGGTGTCCTCTGTGGTGACGGTGGCACCTGCCCTGTGTCCTCCATGTCCCCAGGAGGTACCTGGATCCCCTTCAGGTTCATCCTGCGCCGGGGCGGGCGGCAGGACTGGAAGTACTTGCTGTCCTCGGGTGACTCCTCTGATGTGGATGAGTCGTCTGCTTCCTGGCCATTGGTCCTGGGGCTGGTGTCCCCAAAGTCCTGGGAGATGATGGTGGCTGGCAGGTTCCGGGGGAGACTCTGGGGACAGAGGAGCCAGTGCTGGACGTGGGCGAGGAGTGGCCACCAAGCAGGAAGCCCATTCCTTTCTGACCTGCCTTCCGTGTGGGCTCCACGGCCTGTTATCGTGGCCGCCATCTGTCCTTGGTCCCCCTCCCTCCACCAGGGCCTGGTCACCGTCACCTGCCTGGGCATCAGACTCCACTGTAGTCCTAATTTGTGACCCTAGGCCCGGGTAAAAATACAAATAATATAAAAAAAATATATAAACGGTAAGACAGAGGGCCAGGCCTGCCCGCCTGAGCCATCGTCTTATGTAACCATCGGTGACAAGCACGTAGTGACGATAGTCACTGTTTACAAAACAGGAAGCCGGGAGCAGGGGCTGTAAGTGACTCCCGTGTGACTCCCCAGAGCTTTGGGCTGTAAGTAGCTCTCTGCAGAAAATGCCTCGTGGGGTCAGAACAGCTGCCAAGCTCCTCGGTGCACTCAGCGCACCTCCTCCCCCGTATCTGTGAGGCGCAAGATACATTGCAAAGCGTGGTGACCAGTGAGGGACAGGTGAGGGGCAGCTCACGCCTCCCGATTCCATGAGCCCCAGAAGTGAAGCCTCCCATGTGGCCCTTGGAGTCACAAGGTCCTGCTCGTCCTGGGAGGACGCAGGGCTCTGATCCCAGCCCCAGGCCACAGGTCAGCCATGACCCCAGTGCAGTCCTGGGGTTTGAGCTCAGGGCTCTGCACTTGCACAGCAGGCGCTCTGCCACGTGAGCCGCACCCCAGTCCACTTTGCTCTGGTTATTTTGGAGTTGGGGTCTCCTTAACTATCTGCCCAGACTGACCTCTAAACTCAATCCTCCTGATCTCAGCCTCCCAGGTGGCTGGGATTACAGGTGTGAGCCGCGGCGCTTGGCCCAGATCTGCGCTTTGTCACTTTGGAGTGAGTTGAGTTCTGCACGGCAGGGTGAGCCACCGTTGGCCGGGGTCAGTGGGGCGGGGGACGCGTCAGGGCCCCACCTGGTCGAGGCCGCCGCTCTCCTTGGAAAGCCGTCGCAGCTTGCCCTCCAGGGTGAGGATGCACGCCTCCTGCCGCACCAGCTCGATGCGGGTCTCGTCGTTCTTCTCCTCCAGCTCGCGGATCTGCTTGCGGTACTTGTCCTTCTCCAGCAGACACTGGGAGTAATGCGTCTGCGCCTCGTCCCGCGAGTGGAAGGCCTGCGGGGGTCGGGAACGGGACGGCTCTCAGCCTTTCTGTGCTTACTGGCGGTACCACGGTTTGAACTTAGGGCCTCAACTCGCCAGGCAGGCGCTCTACCACGTGAGCCACACCGCCAGCCCTTTATGCTTTGGTATTTTTCAGATGGGGTCTCAGGCTTTCTGTCAGAACTCGCTTTGGACTGCGATCCATGTAGCCGGGATTGCAGGCGTGAGCCACCGTGCTCGGCTGTGGCGCAGAAGTGGGGACAGGGACAGTGACGCACCTGGTCCCGTTCCCGCTCCACCTCCTCCAGCTGCAGCATGACGGTGTTCATTCTGTGCTTGTACATGTCGCAGTCCTTCCCCAGCGTGGAGCACCTGAGCTCCAGGTCCTGCTTCTCCTCCAGGTACTGTGGGAGGGAGGGGGAGGGGGAGGAGGGGAGGAGGGGGAGG